GCATCTATATTTCTCTCTTTGTAATGAATGACACTGGTACTTCTTACTGATGGTTAAGTGCCAAGATTGTGTAGAATTTCGTCTACATGCCTTTTATATATGTATCTTCATGGTTTGGCATATTCTCTATTTTTCTCCATGACAAATAACAAATCCATCATAGCCATAATCATGGCAATATGTGATGGATACAAACTTTGTTAACATATAAACACAAAAAGTCATAGCTAAGCCTAAAATAGGAACTCATTGTACAGGGTGAAATGCCTGGTATAGATTTCAGCTAAAAGCCACACTAAGATCTAGCTTCTACCATCCTGTTTCACACATATAGTGAAGTGTTTCGAAGAAAATATGATGAAAACTTGCATATTCATGTGCATGGGTGTACTGAAGTATAACCACCAGCCTGAAGGCCGGATATTCTATGCTAAAGAGAACCTATCAGTAGATATTTAAACTACCTTTTGTTTCTGGTTTATTTAACGGCCCTTTTGATAGCTCAGACTAAGTAGCTTCAGGCAATTAATGAATAATGAATCAGAAAGGACAAGGGAGCACATGTGACCTACTTTTAGGTACTATCCCAGCATTTACCCAGAGGCAGGTAGGGAAACCACAAACACCCAAAGCGAGGACAGCAAGTGTCTGGGCTTGGATTTAAATCAAGGAGTTCCAACTACGAATCACAAGCACTAATAACTCAATCACGATGTTCAGCCAACTGACATTGCACTTGTAATGCCACTGATTGAAACATGTGATATGTATAAACTTTTAAAAATAACAGTAGACTAACAAGAGTACAAGTTTCAAGGAAATGATAATGGCATTCCTCAGACAAGGAATGAAAGACAGAAGAATTATAAGACTGTTTCATTTAAAATATATATTAAAGATGGGAAATATCAAGATTCAAAATTATGATATGCATACAGAGATATGTTAAGATTGACCAACACCACTACCTGATCTCACATCACACCTGGGGCATCTCTGACTGTCATGTCAGTTCACCTTATATTGTGGTGTGCTGGTGACTAGACTACATACTACAGCCTTAATCAAACTATGATATGATATTTCTCTCTGTGCAGTACAATCCAATACAAAAGTTCATACCTGGGTCTGCCAACCATAGATATCAACACATGCTAACAAAATAAGGGTTTATTTACAATCACTTTCTGTGATATTTATGGTACAATAAACTTCATGCCATGTGATCCTTACTGGCAGTCAATCCCACATCATCCTGAGGTGCAAGAATATCTGTCGCATGGCCACACAGTCCATCTGACAGCTGTCTTTTGGTTTCCATAATATAGGATATTTCAACAAAGCTTTACAGCCTCTGCAGAGAATACTAAAAGTGAAATAAGTTGCTCAGTCCTTACACAGGACATAAACTTCATCCAAATAGCACATTTTAGGCCTACATGGACACTCTGCAACCATGCAGTAAGTAGATGTGTGGAACACAGTAAGAAACTGGAAGAGAATTATAAATATTATCATGAATGTTATGGCTGAACCTCACATATGACAACACATTTATACAAATGGTTGGCAATCCCCCAAAATTATAAAATAGACCCGCAAATTGTAAAACACAAAGTATGGCCCTCAATACCAAATGAAAGCACATTCCAAAGTCTTTAAAAGTTATGACAAAATTGGACTGTACTTATTAAAGGGAATGCAAGATGTATGATGTGACGGCAGTGTAATGCCGGTTCTGAACTCTATTCACAAGGTACAGACATAACACACAAACACTACCTTTCAGCCCAAGCAGACACAATAACTTCATTCCAGCTCAGACCAATCTGCATATGTTTCTGTGATCCAACATGTCTTAAAGTATTATATTTAAGCATCCTGTTGCACTCTACACGATAAATGATACAAACTCCGTCCTAAGTGCAAACAATATACATTTATATGTCTTTGATCTTGTTCTTTCTACACTACATGTTTCGGCCTCTATCGGCCATCATCAGGTGTATACTCTTAACGTTGCTGCCACACTGAACCCAGTCTAAAACTTAACATTTAAAAACACAATGTCACGTTCTTCGTATTATCAACATCTACATCGTTGATATGTGTCTGGTATGTAGATTATGTTGCACACGTCAAACCCGATATTCTTGTAGTAGCACTCTAAAAATCTTTAGTTATGATGTTTTTAAAATCTTTTAAAATTTTCTCTAAATTTTAAATTTAAA